CGTCGGCGGCGGAAAGCTGATCTCCTTCTTGGCGCTTTGCGGCGCGTTGGCCGCTACTGCATTTGGTCACCAAGGAACAAATTTGTGATTGCCTAAAAAAAGTAATATCTCTTATTATTAAATTATAAAAAACAATACATTTTTTATACTTACACAATTTATAAGTGAAATTGGTCGTGACATGCCTCTTGTGCCTTGCGCTGCGCAGGAATCTCTAGAATCTGCATGCCTAATCCGAATTATTGCAGCTCTTATAGTTTCCGAGATCACGACGTTCATACTGACAGACGGACATGGCTAGATCGACTCGGCTAGTGATCAAGAAAATACACACTCATAAAATTATTTTTCTAAGTACTAGAAAAATCGCCCTAAACATTAAATCGCCCAACATTAAGAAAAATCGCCTTAAATATAAGAAAAATCGTCATAAAAAATATGTTCTATGTTTTTTTTCAAAAATGCCTATTATTTCTATTATTTGAGGCGAATTTTTCCGAGCATATGCTATTAATATTTTCTTGAAATTTGAAAATCGGTGACCTAGCGGTCTAATGCGTTGAACTTTCAAACTAATCAAAATGGCATAAGTTGGAGCCCACGAAAAGTCAAAATTTATTTTACTCTTTTGTGCAAGTCTTAAGAATTGAATTCTTAAACAATTTTGTGTGCAAAGGCAAAACATTTAAGAACACGTAAAAATAATATTCAATGTAGTACATTAAAATAACAGTTTTTAATGTATTTAGTCTAATTGGTTAAAATAAAACATAATTTTTTTGTCATTAGTGAGAATATTTCTTAGAATTAAATTGAGAATTTGTTTTTGCACACGGCTGGGAACCCTGCGGCCGTGAGTTCGATTCTCGCAGCGACTCCCAATATTTTTCTCAAAAGTAAGTTGTTTGATACTTATGTTATTTCCCTGATTCTGTTTAATGACTACTTTCAGTTCATATGACTCTAATTAGCTGTTTATACCAAAACGCTTGTAGCGGCCAAATAATAACTTTGCCTTTTCTCACCCTCCTACCGCAGACAATGTTTGCCCGAGAAACAGCAAACAAGTCCAAACACAATTTTTGTATACAAAAATACAAAAATGTAATATAGTTTATTTATTTTATCGAATGTTGTATCATTTTTCGTCACATTGTTGATATCAGAAATTTTTGTTAACGGCACTACTTTTTACCTCGTTAAGAGGTGTTTTTGTTCGATATCAGAAGTTTTTTTTTGCACAAGTACTCCAATACCATGACTAGGAGTCATCCCCATATGGCTTGGCTATTGAAAAACCAAACACACTGATTCGACCCCTAATCTTAGCTGAACGCCACCTTAAATTAGGCACTGTAGCGTCATTACCAGTCTGCACCCTCGAGGAGGGTTCAGTATGGGGATTTTTGCCAACCAAAACAAATGTAAATATTTTATGCAATAACTTAACTTTATGTTTACTACACTTTCTACTTCTTTGTAACTATAGATCATAACTTATTTCTCCTCATAAAAAAGTATATAAATATCTTTGCTGTTCCGGGACCAAGAAGATTTAGTTATTGTTGCATCATCGGCTTTGTATAGATTTCCATCTTTTCGTAAAATAGATGTATAATGTCCTTCGTTAAAACCTTGACCATGATGAAACATTGCACTTGTTAAACAGTATCTCGTATTTTCAAATCTTAACTCACTTTGTGAGGTGTTTATTAAATTAAAATTGGTTATCTTCGTATGCGCCTGATCGACTAATCTAAGTGAGAACACAAGTATTCGGCCTGCATTTTCAATAAGGGACTGACTGAAGATGACTGGCGCAATGCGTACAAATGCTGCTTACAATAGTTCACCATGAACCATAATTATAGCTTATTAATTATTTTATTGTTCATTTTATACTTTCGGGAATATGAAGTTGAGCAAAAAAGTTTTCATCTATTTGTCTGTTTCTTCCATAATCACAGTTAGAGCACTTTATAGTTTCTACATGCTTAAGTATAAAAAATGGTTTCATTTGTTGCAAGGAAGGACAAACCAAAAGCTACCTCAAAAAATCTCCACTGTCTTGTTGTTCAATATTATTAAATATTTCCGAACGTAAATCGGATATGTCTACATTTTTTGCCATTAATAAAAGGTTTGTGTAATTTAAAAATGGTGCCTTTAAAATGTTATTATTCTGATCATTCAATACTGATTAAGGAATATATATTTGAGACGTCAAACGTTGTTTGACGTCTCAAATATATATTTTTATCAGAAATATTTATATTTTTTTTATTATTACCAACAAGATGTTGCAAATCTCTTCTATATAAACTTCTTAATCTATTGTATTCTATTATAGCCCCATTATTTGTCTTAATACTTTTAGGATTAAAGTAATCTAGTAATATATGTACAATGTACATTATGTAATTGTTACTTAGCTTCTAAAATGTTCTAAGAATTGTAAGAAAAGTTTTTCTTTCATTAGTTTTAAGTAAATAAATATATAGTTCTAAAAAATGTATAAACTTTCACGTTTTACTTCGGCTTAACTTTATTCTAATAAGGTATGGGTTGCTTACATTCACATTCTAATAAGAATAAAACATCTGATATGAATATTAAACTTTTTAATAACAAGTTTTATCGCTTCAAATACCTATTTTAATAGCACAAGTTTGGAATCTCAAGGGCTGTATAGTTTCAGATTCCAAGAGAAATCTGTCGTTTCTTACATTTTCCGCCGAACTAGCAGGTTTTTCCAAAGTGGTAGAACAAATAGATCAAGTTTCCTATTTCGATTAGCTTCATGCAAGTAAAGGACCCTAAAACCATAACAGATTTTCCGTTTGAAAAAAATTTAATAATTATTTTTTTCATCATATTGGTTTTTTTCTTATTTATTCCAATAAGTGTGAAATATTTCGTATACGGAGCTGAAACGAGTTGCACTTTTTATCGCTTAATATCTTCCAAACGGTAATTTTTAAGGCAAAAAGTGTTATACATCAAATGTTGAGGAATCTTAAGGGCTATATGATTTGAAATTCAAAAAGAAATCGTTCGACTCAATTTTATGAAAATAGTCAAAAAGTGGTTTAAAAAAATAACTTTTTGTCATAACTCTAAATCTATTATATTCAGACCATTTTATTGTATGAAGAGTATTTAGCAAATTAAATTATCTTTTCAGAGATAGCACGTTTCTGTATCATTAGTTGTTTAGATACTTTAAGCATTTTAAAACTGCCTTTTTTTCCGCTAAACAAGCGGGTTTTTCCAAAAGTCGTAGAACAAACGTTTTCTATTTCAAGGCACTTTATACACCCACAGATCAATAGATGTCAGCAACTTTCTGCTATTAAACTTTTAAAAACTATTGATTTTTGGAAAGGTGTCATTAAAAAAACGATCGATTCAAACGCGTCACTGTGCCCTCACACTCCCCTACTTTATATAAATTCCTAGAAAAAATGTTTCTATAATTTATTACGGAATACAGTAACCAAGTGGACTTGTCTTTGGTAATAAAAATATATATGTAGCACAAATGAGTATTACCGCAAAAATGAATATAACTTCTCTTCTATAATTATTGCTTTTAGATAATCTTCTGATATCAAAACAAAACACCGCTTAACGATATCGTGACAATCGAAACTTCAACATAAAAAAGTTCTGGTTTTGTGATGTGCAATCCATTAACAAAACACACTTTTTAAGAAGTTCTATTCGGCACGATGCCATTAAATATGCCTTTGCATGCCAAAAGCTTAATATTTTGCTGAAGCGGGCAGAATGAAAACAAATTCAAGATTTCGTAAATGTATAAATGTTTTGTTTTGATTATAAATATCCATTTTCATGCACTAAATAAATAATGGAAAACGAAATTACATATCTGGATGTTGAATTTAAAGTGTCGTATTACATATTTGATTTAATAAAAAAATAAACTTTTAATACAAATCACATTAAAATGCTAGATTCTATTTGAAAATATTATAAGCAAGTCAGTGTTATTATTATTTACTTTAAATATTTTCTGTCATTAAAAAATATTTATTTTAGTTATTCTTCGATCTGTTTTCCATCCATTGAGGTTTTTGTTATCTTTTAATAAATAAATATCTGCATATTGAATTCAAAGATTCGAATTAAATATGCAGATATTTATTTTAACTTTTACATCGTATTTTCATTGACCCAAAAATTGCATCAAACTCAATTTTATCCAAATATGGATGTATTATATTTAATAATCCTACTTAATAAATAAATTTCTGCATATTGAATTCAAAGATTCGAATTAAATATGCAGATATTTATTTTTATTCTTACATCGTTTTTTCATTGACCCAAAAATTTCATCAAACTCAATTTTACCCAAAGACCATTCATAAAAAGATATAATCAAATAAAGGAATCGAAATAAAGGAAGATGACGCAGGGCAAGTTGTGCAATCTTGGGATCAGTAGCTTGCTTGCATATTTCCATCTCCATCGCAATGGGTAATGGGTATCCGATGTCGAGGCCATAGAGTACATACGTATGTATGTAGTGAACCTACATGTCAAATTCTCTAGCTTTTAAAATGAGACCGCCACCTAGCGGCATAACCTTAAGACAATTTTTTGAAGGGAATTGAAAAAAAAATTAAACAAAATTGCTTTCTTACTCTTACAAAATCTTTTTATGTGGGCGATACACAGATTCTGCTCATGAGTAAATATTCTTCTGTACTTGGAAACTCACCAGTAACGGATTTTACAGTTTTTGTTTTCGAAACAGTTAGGAATTGATTCTCCTCCAGCGCAATAAAAAAAGCATTCTTTTATTTTCTTTTTTGATTTTCACACTTCTAGGAACTTAATAGTGGAAATAATAATTTTGAAATAACAAAATAGTTGAAACTGTTTGTAAGTAAATTTTAGCTACCGGCAATAGCGAGCATTAAATACAATTTGTTTACTTATTGAAACCCTTTTCAAAATGTGCTTAAGCATTAAGTTAACAGAGCTTTATTTGGTTCGCTAGAGTGGGTTGAGTCCTTGCTACATTATAGCAGGGCTGACAACCAGGTATTGCGTCTACGATATTATGTATGAGCAATCAATCACCTAGGTAGAGTAAAAGGTTGCCGTTCTGCAATAGTTCTATGAGTACTTATATGTTTTTTTTTGCGGAAATGTTTCAAGTACACACCTGTTGGTCATTGCAGCCCGAGCTGTCGGTCTTGTTCACCCGGTTTGGGTTGTTTGGGTTATTAGATCCCTTCCGTCCGCCAAAGTTGTTGGCGTTGTTGTGGCCGTTCTGGGCCATCCAGGATAAAAAATGTCCTCCCTGCGAAGTAACTGAAAGAGTTTTTTGTTTGAAACAATGATAGAGGTGTTGATAGATCTGAGGTTCAGCGGACAGAAGGTGGTTTGGGGCACATATTCCTGTATCCAGATTTCCTTGTGGCGGTAAGCTTATGGCACTCATTTTCTGACTTAAGAAATCATTCATCAAGTTGTTATTATTATTGTTATTGTTAGTTGGAATCATGGAGCCACCACTGAAATGCGTTGGACTACAGCCGTTGATTGGAAAGCCATAGAGTAAGAATCTATATAGAGGTTTCAATTGCTCTGCCCGAACCTCTGCCCAACCTCTGCTAAGAGCCCATTCAAGGCCAAGTTTGAAGCTAACTTAGGTGCGAAGCAACAGCAATAGGGATTTCGATTAAAAACAAAAACAAAACAGTGAGCAAGAGCGGTGCAGAATGAGGTGGGAAGGAATTACAAGTTCGATCGAACTTGTCAAAAAGAGGGGAAATAAGCATTTTTCGCCTAGGTGGCATCATAGCCTCATTATCTAAAGAGAGCGGCAGAGCAATTGGCGCCTCTATATAGTTCATTACTCTATGGGAAAGCTCGAAATCTCTGGCAGATATGGAGTGTTATTATTCTGCCAAATTTGCATTGGCGGAATGCTATCCACTGTACTGCAGTTGGAGCGAGGCGATGCGAAATTGATTGAGAAGTTTGATGTCTTCGGCAGATACAGATGATTATTGCTCTGTCCAAATTGCATCGGCGGAAAACTATCCACTGTACTGCCGTTGGACCGAGGTGAAGCGAAATTGTGCTCCACTGATGGACACTGGCTGCTCCGGCTATCCACATCCATAAATCCGTTCTCCACCTTGATGTCGTGCACGAAATTGGGACTTCCGCCAGGATACATCATGGGCATACGCATACTCGAAGGCACCTTTGTCACATGGTCCCTGCATATTAGCCTAGAAAAATTGTATAAAACCGTGTTAGCCGTATGATTTAAATATTAACAAATTAAACGTTAATTAAACGCAACATTAATCCTGTACTATATATGAATTTGTGTATTTTCACCAACAATTTTCGCTATTCAAAATGACATTCGAGAAATGTTTATGTTTTGGCGTGAAGAATGTGTTTTGCTAGGAACTACATAGATGAAATGTTTATATAATGTTTGGAGTTTCTTGGCGAGAATACAAATCGAAACGTAGTTCAAATAATATTCGATAACAGCTTTTTTCTGTTATTGTTTTGTTCTTGGTTTTTCTGTTATTGTTTTGTTCTTGTTTTTGTTTTTTATTCCTGGTCGCAACAGGGAAAAAGCGACCGGGAATTAAAAAAAAAATGTATGGCAACGCTACGCTGCTTTTGGAATTTGGGCAATGAAAATATATGTATGGCAACGCTCGCTGTTACAGCAACAACGACGAAAACAATTCAAAACGAAATAGGAAAGTTACAAACATGAACTTCAAAAACATACATTTATTTAAAAGCGGTAAGAATGCCATCAAGGCGGGATTTGGATATGCTGGTGCTCATCAGGGGGACCTTAAAAAGGGCTTCCTCTTTATGACCAGCCAATTTTCGAGACTTTTACAAAACCCGCGGCCGTTTTTTTTGGTGTTTGACGAGTTCCACCTTAAAAAAATACCGGCGTGGAGATTCCAATCCGGGAAGGTCATGGTGGTGGCCATTGCCACCTTCGACGGGCAGTTTCTGCGGTTCGTCCACATACAAATGGTAAGTTAAAATTTATGTAAATGTTTCTTTTAGTCTTAGCTTTTGCATTTATACGGCCGCGCGCGCGCTGTTCTGTTAGAGATGCCATCGGATATCGTATATCGTAGATATATCGGCACCGTGGCAGTGCAGTGAAATCTACTGCCAAATGTAAACAAAGTTGAAAAAAAGGCGGTATTTTTTTTTAATGCTATTTTTAATGCTATTTATTATTTTCATATTTTATATATATACATTATATTATAATTTTTTCAGTCATTATATATATAAGTTATATATTATTATTCATTATTCTTATTTATGATTTCTATTTTTTCACAGATGTCTACAGAGATCGCAATGCTGGGGAAGGCTCAAATAAAGGCCGGAGTAAGGGCGGTATATTACTTCGCCAAACAAAACGGGCTGCAGCACCGCCTGGTAGGAGCCGTGAGCGACGGCAATGCGGCGAACCAGGACGCCATCCAGTGGCTCCTGCAAAAAGGTGTCCCATCTATGTACGACCACAGGCACTTGTGCGGGCGCCTTGTGCAGTTGGGGGTGGCTGACGGTATGCTCAGGCACGCATATAGGCATCTTAGATTCCGCAAAGGTACCTATATGCGTGTCCTGGGCGAAATGGCAACTAAAGCCAATACCGCCCTAGCCTCCAACCACACGGCGCTCGCGCACTACAAGCAGGAGTTCGGGAGGATGGAGTTCTTGCTGCGGAATATCTACCAGGTGGTGCCGGAGGAGGAGGAGGTGTCCTTGACCAGCTGTAATGCTGACCTCTTGGAGGACATCGGCCAGAAATGGGCTTTCTTGTTGGACGAGGCGGTCAAGGAAGCCCTGTCGGTGTTCCCGGAGGTCAGGGAGGATGAGGAGCAGGCCCTCCTCCTCGTCGGGATTTTGGTGACGGTGATGGCGATCACCGAGGACCCATTAAATTTTTAAAAAATAAATAAATGAAATATAAAATAATTCAAACACTTTAGTCGTATTTTTAATTTTACATAATTTTATATAATTTTATAAAATTTTATTTACAGGGGCTTATTTTTAATTTTAATTTATCTTAGGAAATTTACTTTAAAATCTTTATTGTTAAAATAATAAAAAAATATTGATAAAAGCTTTAAGGCTTTTGATTATTATTATCGATGAAAATGTTAAGTTTATAACAGGAGGGAACGGGGCCAGCATACAAGTTAGAGCGAGACGACTATGTAAAGCATAGAACAGCGGTAAACTGTTTTTTTAAAAACATTCGTCGAACTACAAGAAGCAAAGAAGCAGCAGAAGCACCAACCACCGGAAGGCAACAAACTTAAATATTTCAACGTAATGGACAACCAATTAAACGAAGGTAAGTAAAAAGTGTTATTTTCAATGATTATAGCTTTGCCGACCCGACCAGTGTGTACTTCTTATGGCCGGGTCGCAAACATACATTCACACGGCAGCCAAATGTTTTTTTTTTTTGCTATTTGACAGCACTTTTTTAGCTCTTTGCTTAGTGTTTACTAAGTATTTGCTTACTTTGCATTTACACTAAGCAAAGAGCTAAATGCAAACTAAGCAAATACTTAATAAACACTAAGCAAAGAGCTAAAAAAGTGCTGTCAAATAGCAAAAAAAAAACATTTGGCTGCCGTGTGAATGTATGTTTGCGACCCAGCCATAAGAAGTACACACTGGTCGGCAAAGGTATACAGCTGTGTTCATTGAAATAGCAGTGCATACGACCTGCACGTATAAAATCGAAAAACACTATTATAAACACATCATTGAAACAAAACTTAAATACAACAGTTTTAATTATTTATTTTTAAAAAATTAAGCTGTTTTTTCCTGTTGGGTAATTCAATATCTTAGCAAATATGGATAATAACAAAAAAGAAAGACTGAATTATGGTGTCCATTGAAATAGCAGTGTTAAAAGAAAAATATGATAAAATTCAATATGGCTCATTAATAACTTAATCCTACTAAATATCGATTTGATTACGACCAAATATTTTGTTGTATGGCCTTTATTGGCTATTACAGGCTAACACCTATGGGGCCCACACCGCTATATGAGAAATTTGCCCATACCATGATTTTAAGGCCATCTGCTTAACGGTCTTGAGATTTTGTTTTGGGTGGTACCCGGTGTTTGGTGGTCGACCGACGGACATACTTTTTTGAACCTGTTCCACCAAAAAACACCAGCAAAGACTCATCTTTTTGAAAAATTATTTTATTTATTTATTTTATTTGATTATTGGGTGGGCAAGAAAGTCATGTCGTTTTTTTTAGTAATCGTTTTTAATCTAATTTATTTACGACTAATCGAGCACCAGGGTCACACTTTTTAGTATCGTTTTAAAGCTTATTGTCTTAGGTACTATCGACGAAAATTTGGTAATTATTCGATAACATTTGTGGAAGCTATAGCAAATTAAACATGGAGGACCAAAGTGCTTTGCTTTTTTGCTTTTTTACTTCCGAAAAGGAAAAAAAGCGGTCGAAGCTCGCGAAAAATTGTGCGAAGTGTATGGTAAAGATGCCATGAGTGATCGCCAATGTCAGCGCTGGTTTGCCAAATTCAGGCTTGGAGATTTTGGAGTTAAAGACGCCCCACGTTCTGGTCGACCATCGGCCGTTTTTGACGAACAAATTCAGGCTTTGCTGGATGAAAACCGGCGCTATTCAACGCGGGAGATGTCAGAGAAGCTCAGTGTGTCGCATACAACGGTTGAAAACCATTTGAAGAAACTTGGCTACGTAAGCAAGCTCGATGTTTGGGTTCCGCATAACTTAAAGGAAATTCACCTAACTAAGCGTATCAACATCTGCTATTCTCTGCTGCAACGGATTAAAAACGATCCTTTTTTGAAGCGGATCATTACTGGCGACGAAAAGTGGGTTGTTTACAATAATGTCCAACGAAAAAGATCATGGAGCAAGAAAGATGAGCCAGCCCAAGCCACATCAAAGGCCGATATCCATCAGAGGAAAGTTATGCTGTCTGTTTGGTGGAATTGGAAGGGTGTAGTGCACTTTGAGCTGCTGGGACGGAATGAAACCATCAATTCAGATGTGTACTGTCGCCAGCTATCCAATTTGGCGGAAAAAATTAAAGAAAAGGAGCCGGCACTAGCTAATCGCAAGGGTATAGTCTTTCACCATGACAACGCTAGGCCCCACACATCTTTGGTCACTCGGCAAAAATTAACGGAGCTGAATTGGGAAGTGCTACCACATCCACCTTATAGTCCGGACTTAGCACCTTCAGATTACCATTTGTTTCGCTCTCTTCAAAACTCTTTGAATGGTAAAAACTTTGATTCAGATGAGGCTGTCGAAAACCACTTGTCTCGATTCTTTGCTGGAAAAGACCAAAAGTTCTTCGAGCGCGGAATTATGCAGCTGCCCGAGAGATGGTCATTAGTGGTCGAACAAAACGGCCAATACATAAATGATTAATTATAAGTCCTGATATAAATAAATCATCTTTGAAAATATTGAAAAAAAACGACATGACTTTCTTGCCAACCCAATAATTTAGCAATAAAGGCAGCGGTGGCAGCAGTGCAGGCTGCTGGTTTGGCGGTCGTGGCACAAGCCACACGTGCGGCGGCGACGCAGATGCCGCCACCAGCAACAAGTGCGGCGACCCAGATGATGCCACCACCACCACCACCACCTGGGCAATGGTGGGGTCCTGCGCCGCAGGGATATGTCGCGCCGCCATCACCTGGTCAGTGGTGGTATCAGCCGGCGCAGACATATGTGGCGCCACAGCCACAGTGGTATTCGTATCCTGCACAAGGATTTGGAGCACCACCGCCACTGTGGTACCCTGCGCAAGGGTGGCATCCTGCGCAGGGATACGTGGCGCCACCACAACATCAGGCGCCACAAGCGCAGGCGATACATCCACAAGCGCAGGCGATACATCCACAAGCGCAGGCGCTACATCCACAAGCGCAGGCGATACATCCACAAGCGCAGGCGCTACATCCACAAGAGCAGGCGATACAAACTCCACCACACCCACACCCGCAGGAGGAGGTGTTGGAGAAGGCGGTTTTGGTGGAGCCGGAGGAGGAGCCGGAGGCCCAGGCTGCCATCCCCCCGTTGGCCCCCCTAATTCTGTCGCCGCGGCCATCAGCAGGGCGTAGGCGTCCTGTCGCTTCTCGGGAGCGGCCAGGGCGCCCATATCCAGCACTGGGAACGCCTCGTCTTTCGTTGCCTCCCAATGCCATTGAAGTCTCTCAGTGGCCACAGCTCCCCACAAAGGAACTGCAGAGTCACTTCGATGGCAATGGAAGGTAATGGACGACGGTGCCTTACCAGTGCTGGATGTGCTGGCAGAAATGCGTTCATTCGTTTAAAGTCAGGCGCCACAACTGCTTGGCCTCGTCCCTCACCTATTCGTGCCCGTACTGTCCCTTCAGCTCAGTGGTAAAGAACCCTAGTGGGCATAGGGTTAAGTGCAAAGGGGACGGGGTCACGGCGTACGTGCCAGATGGCCCAAATGCCACCCTGCGGGAACACTGGGCGGAGGTTAACAACGGGGTGATGCAGCCTGCTTCGAGGGAGTCGTCGATGTCCCCCCAATCGCGGCAAATGACGGTTATCCTGGCAATGACCAATATTCATCTCCAGCAGATTAAAAAAAATTAAACGCAGATAGTTTCCCTAAATGTACAAAAACTGTCTTCAATGGACGAAATCAATTTCTAGTTCCTTAGAGCAAACCCACATGCGGTCAAGAAACAAAATGATTCTTTTCTTGATGAATCCCGAAATCGACAAGGGTCTATCGATTTTCTTGAACAACGGCTATCGATGTATGGCCAACGTTGCCATTATTTCAAATGGAATACTCACCTCTGAAAAGTGGCAGGCTCAGTGGCAGCCTCGAAGGGTGGCAACGTTGGCCACACATCGATAGCCGATATTCAGAAAAATCGATAGACCCTTGTCGTTTTCGGGATTCATCAACAATACAATCATTTTGCTTTTATCACCGCGAGCGGGTCTAACAGAAAAATTAAAAATTTAAAAAAATATATACCTTTCAGACTGATGTGCAAAGTACAACGCCCGAGCACATTAGGACGCTAAGCTACCAATTTTAGACCTGGTTGTTCGTTTTATTAGCCGAAATTTTGCGTCGGGACATGTCCTATATTTACAGCGAAATTTTCAATAATCTAATCTAATATTTAGCTTCTATTATAATTAATTTATTCAGTTATCTAAGACTTAAAATATTTAAAAACACTTCATAATAGTTCCCTGGCCTGGAAACGGTGCGTTAGTCCAGTCTTGCCACCTCACCGTTGCACAGTGGTCGGGCTTGTATGGAGCCGCGGCCATAAATACTTCTAGACGTGCTATCGGCATGAAACTTTCACCAAAAATCTATAAAAATATTATAAATATATTGTAAAAGAATTGACCGGATCGTACCACTATATCTTGTCGCTTCCATAGCGCAGTGGTCGGGCATGTATGGAGCATGTATGAAAAGCTCCTATAAATTAAATAAAGTATAATATAAATTTAAATTATGAATTTGTATAACATATAAACTCAAATGACAATCACAAAACAACACAACAAAACGCACGAAGACGAAGACAAAGACAGAGATAGACGCCACATAAGCACAGTTACACAAACGAAAAAAATGCTCGAGAACGGCGAGACCACGTGGTTCTTTTCAAGCTTACGCAGCGGCTAGCAAAAACTAGCAGCTGAAATTTTCTCTAAATAATCTGTAAATATTCGTTTATATTGTATTATAAGTTTGATCATTAACTTCGATTAACTTCACAACTAAAAGCCTTAGTCAAACTTTAACTTACAAACAAATTTTATACAAAAGTGGCCATTCTTCCGCTTCAGGAGCGGCGACGATGAGTCAGCACTATCTTTCGGAGAACATGACAGCTGGCGATGGGGCAGTGGACGAGACGGGCCGCGGCTTGTGGAAGCAAGTCCCTGGCTGTAGATCGTACCCCTCCCGGGGAAGGAATGGGTGCGACTTGTCCCGAAGAACGGTAACGTGGACCTGGGAACAGCTCCTTGCTCTACTTCCTCTTGCCCTGCTCCCCATGAGTCTCTGCCACATAGCAATTGACGGCGTTTTTTAAAACAAGCTTTTTTGAAAAAATACAAAAGTTTTGATATGTCCATTGGGTGGTGTGTTGGCTTTTTAATTCTTGTTTTTTTCTGCTTTGTACATAGGGTTGCACTGACCCACCCACGACTCCACGCTAAAAAATTATAAATAATTTGTTATATTTTCATTTTATTGCTATTAGCTACAAAAGTAAAAAACAACTTTTCATAAAGTTCCATTTATATAACAACGAAAAATATCACCCGGTAATGTAACACAAATGCATGCCAAATGGTACCTATATGTAAGTGAGCAGCTCGTGCAGACGATTGTTGTTGTCATTATTCTTAGTTAACATCATTTGAATTGCCAGGATGATGCCTATTTAGGCACATTATTATTATTGTTGTTCTTATTACTAGTGTTGTTATTATTATTATTTTGAATCAATTTCATTATTATGCTTATTAATTTGCCAAATTGTAAGTTTTACAATTAGCAATTAAGCTTAATATACTATTAGATTCGATAAGATTGAAATACTGTGGATGCGGAATCCATAAAGCTTGCAAAGAGCTCATTAAAAATCCTCAGCATTATCGGGATTTTATATTTATAAAATCAAAATTTCAGAGAGTGGCCGAAATTACAACTTCCTTGGAAGCGGGGGGTTACCATTGGCAAAATCAATGAATTTATTTAGGGAAGCCGAAAATATTGTTAAAAGTATTTCAAGAGCTTTTGGAAAAGAGTTAAACCAAAAATTTGAAATGATTTTGAACAGAAACCCACACTTTCAAATTATATCGAAAATCAAAAATATTTTACAGTTTAATGGTGAAATGTCTGAACTTGGACAAGTAAAAAATCAAAACTTTGCAAAATATAAATTTGCTCCAACTACACCGTGTGACATTGAATGACGCTTTTCGGCCTACAAGATGGTTTTTAGTGATAATCGTCAATGCCTTACAAATTGTAATTAAAATGAAAATGATGATCGTTTATTGTAATGCATATTATTTTAAGTAATTTAATACATGTATTTACAAATATTAAAGACAAAAAAGTTAACAATTATTAATTAAAATACAATCTATTTACACCCACAAGAATCGCTTTAACTACATTTTTTGAGTTGTGTTTATCATAGGCATGTTGTGCATATATTTTACATATTTGCATATATTTTGTATATCTTATGCATATGCATATTATGCAAATATGCAAAAAAAAAAATATGTATAGCGTTTTTTACTCTCTATTTATTGATGTGAATTTTGGTGTCATCGGGGTTGAAATATCTTAATTCCATAAAAATTGAGTTATCATGTCAACCGGCCAAGTTATCGCTTTGAGAAAAACGCGATTGAAAAATGGGACTACACACGCAAATCGAATAGTATTCCAGTGTTTTTAAGTACTTTTTACGAGTTTGGGCGATTTTTTGTACCTGGCGTTTCGGGATTTGTTTGAGAAGAAAATGCTTTTGAACTCCAATGGCACCGTCATAAGGAAGTGATTGTTGGCGCAGGCCCAAGAAGCTTTTCAACGGTTTGAAACTCAGCATTTATTTCATCTTAAAAAAAATGTTCCCAATGCTTTTATTTAAGGCTTATGTCCTTCTTGGCAAAAATTGGCGCCATTCGCATCAAAACGTGCACTATTTAAAAAAAAAAAATTATTTGAAGGAGCATCCACCTCCATAAATGGTTTTAAAAAAAGTATACGTTCAAAGAACCGTATGCGAGGAAGGTGTCCAAACGTCACTTTCACTTCCTACTTGTGAAAACCCCGGTAGCGTCACTATTGGCCTACAAAGTAAGTTTACACAAAGCTTGCATAAATGGAAATCTCATCATTGATTAATTTGCTAATAGCAATGAAATAATCATTTGGTGAGCGCTACAATTGTATTTGGAGCCCAACTAAAATAAAATAAATGGAGAACAGGGAATTAAACGAAGGTAAGTACGAAGTGTTGTTTTGTGTTTGTGTTTTTTATAAGTATTATAAAAATAATATAAACGTTTGCCTAATGTTTTTTTTGCTATTTGATAGCATTTTTGTAGCTCTTTGCTTAGTGTTTACTAAATATTTGCTTAGTTTGCATTTACACTAAACAAAGAGCTTAAAAAATGCTATCAAATAGCAAAAAAAAACATTAGGCAAACGTTTATATTATTTTTTTTTTGCACAAACGCGTATTTTTTTTCAAAAATAATTTTGCTTATATTTTGTATGATTTTTTTGAGGTTAAGCAAAATGATATTTGAAAAATTATTTTTTTCACTTATACCTTTGCCGACCAGTGTAGATTCCTTATGCCAATATTGTATTATTTTTATCCCAAATTTAGCAATCCAGGCAGCGGTACAGGCTGCTGGGTCTGGCGGCCGTGGCGCACGCCATGCTTGCGCCGCAGATTCCGCCACCGCCACCACAACAGGCGCCACCGCCACAACAGCTGCCACCGTCCTACCAGCAGCAGCAGTATCCTGCGCACTGGTGGAATCCTGCACCGGCGGCGCAGGCATATGTGGCGCCACAGCCACAGTGGCATCCTGCGCAAAGGTTGTATCCTGCACAAGGATTTGCGGCGCCACCGCCACTGTGGTACGTGGCGTCACCGCCACCAACACCACAACAGGCGCCACCGCCACAACAGGAGCCACTAGCGCCAACACCACACCTGCAGGCTGAGCCGCAGGAGGAGGTGGTGTTGGAGGAGGCGGTGTTGGTGTTGGTGGAGTCGTAGGAGGAGGCCCAGGCTGCTACCCCGTTGGCCCCCTTAAGTGTGCCGCCGCGGCCATCAGCAGGGCGTAGGCGTCCTGTCACTCCTCAGGAGCGGCCAGGGCACCCATATCCAGCACTGATAGGGCCTTGTCTTTCATTGCCTCCCAATGCTGCAGTGACTCACTGGCCGCAGATGCCAACGAAGCATCAGCAGAGTCACTTCGACGGCAATGGACGACGATGCCGTATCAGTGCTGGATGTGCTGGCAAAAATGCATCCATGCGTATAAAGCCAGGCGCCACAACTGCTTGGCCTCGTCCTGCACTTATTTGTGCCCCTATTGCCCGTTCAGCTCTGTGGTCAAAAGCCCGAGCGGGCATAGGGCTAAGTGCGAAGGGGACGGGGTCACGGCTTACTTGCCGGATGGCCCACATGCCACCCTGCGGCGACATTGGGCGGGCATCAACAACGGGGTGTTGCAGCCTTCGAGGGAGTCTTCAATGTCCCCCACGTCGCGGGAACTTAGTGAAGGGCTTAATGCCTTGTTGTAAGTATTCATAAAATTTCATTTGATTTTTAACTTTAATTATAATTATACCCGTTACTCGTAGAGTAAAAGGGTATACTAGATTCGTCGACCCCACAAAGTATATATATTCTTGATCAGGATCACTAGCCGAGTCGATCTAGCCATGTCCGTCTGTCCGTCTGTCTGTCCGTCCGGATGAACGCTGAGATCTCGGAAACTATGGGAGCTAGGCTATTGAGATTTGGCGTGCAGATTCCTGAGCTTCTTACGCAGCGCAAGTTTGTTTCGGCACAGTGCCACGCCCACTCTAACGCCCACAAACCGCCCAAAACTGTGGCTCCTACAGTTTTGATGCTAGAATAAAAATTTTAACTGAAATGTATTGTTCTCATCAATACCTATCGATTGACCCAAAAAAAAGTTTGCCACGCCCACTTTAACGCCCACAAACCGCGAAAACCTGTGACGCCCACAATTTTCATGCTAGATAAAAAATTTTAACTGAAATGTATTGGTCTCGTCGATACCTATCGATTGATCCAAAAAAAAATTTGCCACGCCCACTCTAACGCCCATAACGCTTAAATCTGTATACCGCCGGTAGGTGGCGCATTTTAATCTCGCTTTGCTGCTTGCATATCTCCATATAGCTGAGTAACGGGTATCTGATAGTCGAGGTACTCGACTATAGCGTTCTTCCTTGTTTTTATATTAATTTCAGATCCTCTCCTTGAACGACTAAAGGGCATTGGAGGCTCCCGAGCGGCCACGCCGGACTGATTGCGGATGCAGGTAAGAGAAGCGTACGCTAGACGGGCATAGTGGTTAAACAAATATTTTCTTGTTCTTTTAGATCACCAACTCCCGGCATTACCCGCTCCGAACCAAGCGCCGGCCGCAAACGCAAAGGCAACAACAATCGAAAATGGTGTACAAACAGGAGGAGCGAAAAAGCCAGAGAGTTGTGGTGAGAAAGCACTCGGATTGCGGATTTGTTTGTGCAATTTATCTAGTTTACCCAAATGTTTAACCGTTGTTTTGGCCCGCAGAACCGACACATTCCACTGGGAATTCCTGTTCGCCGCCAAGGAGAAGATCCTGCTAATGCTCCTCGCCGAGTCGGAGGAGTATGTGGTGCTGCCGCCTCCATCGCCGCTCAATCGATCCGAACGCGCCGGCAGCTCGGTGGATCCCAGCTTCTATGCCAACAACAGTATTGTGTCCAACCCAATCGATTCCACAGTCTCCAATGACGAGACCCTGTCGCTGTCCAGCGTTACACCTTCGAGTGCAAAGAATTCGGCCTTGTTAAAGGAGTTCTCGAGAAGGACCGTGAAGGTCAGTTCATAGCGACCACGCCGCTGTCGCTCATCTCCAAGATGATCAACCGAAACAATGCCCTCATCAAACCGCAAAAACGTGGCAGTTCGGGAACCTTCGAGATCCACATCTCCAGCAAAAAACGAAAGTTCGGAAGCAGTGCCTCCAATGGCGACGCAAAAGCACTGGCCCTCAATAGGGATCTGGAACAGAAGAAGGAATTACTTATCTCTAGCTACCGCGGCAGTTCCCCCTTAGAACAGTCCACCATTATCGAATATATGAAAGAGTGCTTTCCGCTGCAGCGCTCGTTCTTCAATAACAGCGAAAAGATCCCGGACTCACGGCCATCAAGGACAATTGGCCATATATTTTTGACAAGGCGGTGCTGTACCAGCACTTCGAGGAGTCCCAGGATTGCTATGAATACCTGCCCGGATATCTGCTATTCACCAAGCCCACCTGCAAACCCTTCGAGCTGAGGATAGCAGCCGCCAATTGGTTGAACCGATGGCATCTGCTGCGGCCGGAAAGGGAGCTCTGCAGCATGAACCGCATGGTTGCGCAGCTCATGGACCACGATATAAAACTCTTCATATACGAAGCCCAGAAACTGAACGATACCCATTGGTTCTCCACGCATTTGATTGATCTAATCCATCATTGCGGTCAGCTGAAGAGCTACTTTGATCAGAACAAGATGTGGGTTAAATTGATTGAGATTTGTATTTATTCGAAAGATAATATTTTATATTTCTTACCCACAGTGATCTTCCTGCCCTACGTCATTCGATGATCTATGAGTACGGCAGCTATCTGATGACGTCCAACAACCTGTGGCAGTTGGGCATCGACTATCTAGACTGTTGCAAACAGGAGGGCCAGGCGGCTATCGAACTGCTCCTGCCCCGCATCTCCTTGCGCAGCGAGCGGCAGGCCACAAAGTTGATCAACCTGGCCAGGCAGCGAGGACTCACGAGCGTGGAGCAGGAGATCTGCAAGGTGCTCTCGAAGCAATCCTACGATAAAGAGCGTTACGGCAATGCTTTGGAGTGGGTCATTCGCTCGAAGGATGTTCTGCTGGTGACGGCAGTTGCGGACTTTATTTTGAAGGTGTTTACAAACCCTTTTTGTTTTCATATTTCAAACTAATGGGTTGTCTTTTCCATAGCATTACTCGAGGACTGGAAACATGCTCTGCCCGGACACCATAGCCAATGTGTATATAACTTTGTGTATAACTTTCTTCCATTAGCTTTTGGCCCTCGCTGCTTATCGACTCTATGCCTCTGCTGGCAACATTCCCGATTACGTGCAGCCGCCTTTCCAGCGCTCGCCTAAATCTCGGCCAGGAGCACTGATCACCGGCGATCGCCAGACCTCACCGGACAACTATCAGATCATAGGACTAAGTGGGAGCACCAATAGTGCCTGTTCATCGAACGGACAGAGTCGTGGGGGCAGTGCGGACAAGTCCCCGGCCGACAGTGAGCTGGATAACCTAAATGCCCAGGACGAAAAAATAGTCAACAATTTGCCGGATCGCCAGCGAGTTGAGCGAGGTGAGTTTTCGACGAACCTATACCAAAGTTTCGTTATTTCCTGTCCCCTAAACGAAAGGTTGACTTGATTGTTATAATCTCGTAGCCGAAAGTTCATTTTTTTTGGTAATTTAAATTTTATCAGAAATACTTCTTATTGAAAATGCAATAATCAGAATCAGAACTACATGAACTTAATGACTTACCCTTCTTTTACAGGCCCTCCTCTCACGGAGACACAGTGGCTGGAGTTCCAGACGCCCGACGGTCGAATTTCAAACAGCGTCCGCATCAAGGAGCTCATCTTCCGTGGCGGCATCGTGCACAGCTTGCGGGCAGAGGTGTGGAAGTTCCTCCTTAACTATTATCAGTGGTCCGATACCCAGGTGGAGCGGATCGAGCGCCATAAGCAAAAGTCAATTGAGTACTACAATATGAAAGCCCAGTGACTGGCCATGACGACGGTGCAAGAAGCGAACTTTTGCGGCTATCGGGAGCGCAAGTGCCAGATCGAGAAGGATGTGAAGCGCACAGATCGGTCGCTGCAGTTCTTCGCCGGCGAGGATAATCCCAATCTAGCTCTGCTGCAGGGTATCCTTATGACCTACGTGATGTACAACTTTGATCTTGGCTATGTTCAGGGAATGTCCGATCTGCTTGCTCCCATTTTGGAGATCCAGGTGAATGAGGTGGATGCCTTCTGGTGCTTCGTGGGCTTCATGGAGCTGGTGTTCACCAACTTTGACATGGACCAGGCGGGCATGAAGACTCAGTTTGCCCAGGTCCGTCGCCTGATCGAGTTTGCCAATGCTCCACTGTTCAACTACATGCGATCCCACGATTCGGACAACATGTACTTCTGCTTCAGATGGCTACTGGTGTGGTACAAGCGGGAGCTGAGCAACGAGGACGTCCTTAAGTTGTGGGAGTGCCTGTGGACTCGGCTGCCATGTCCAAATTTTCACCTGCTCTTCTCGGTGGCCATTTTGGATCAGGAGACGAGCGTGATAATAGAGAGTCAGTATGAGTTCACAGAGATCCTGAAGCATGTCAACGAGCTGTCTGGCAATGTTGATGTCCAAAAGACCTTGCAGATTGCTGAGGCCATTTACCTGCAGCTCAAGGCCTCGGAAACACTTCCCAATGACATCCGTTGCATCATAGGGGAACCACTTCTGCCAACAGCCGCCGGCGAGAAGGTTGACGGAGGCTTGGTAGATGAGGAGCCTGCCTATTCGGATGATGGCTTCGACGAGCTAGTAAGGGAACTCACTCCCGAAGAAAAGCTCCGCCAGCAATATTTACTGGAAGAGGCCGCCAAATATTGTAGATCAGGCGATGGGATACCTGTCCATCCAAACCCTCCTCCAGCTGACCAACTACCATTGCACCATTCAGTTTGTGGGTACTGTGAGTACAACGCTTACATTTAAGATCGAAGAGCTTCTTTCCCAAACGAACGGCGGCTCTCGCGGCTGTCCGGAGCACTTCCGGCTGAAGCTGCTCCACCGATCCACGCAACAGCTAGAGCAGGATCTGTGCTTCGCCAAAGAGTGCGAGGTCACAGTGGAGGGTCCGCCGCAGTACGATCTCCTCAAGCTGCAGAAGTTCGTGGCCAGTGACTTGGAGAAGTTTTTGCTGAAACTCACCGACAACTCAGAGATGGAGCGCCTTAAGGACTACGCTGATGAGAAAGTGATCGGAAACAACGAGTGCCACCTGGTTAAGGAGCCCATGCACGCATCCGCTGCTGTAAAGAACAAACCCAGGAAAATGGAGGACCGATGTGTTTGCCTGGACCGATTTGGGGAGATGTACGGATTGTCGGATAAAAGCACTCGTTTCTTTGGCGTCTTCGATGGTCACTCTGGTTCTTTATCAGCCAGTTATGTCACCAGCCAACTTCCCCAGATATTAGCTGACCAACTTAAGGCGCAGTCAGATCCACCAGACTCCTCCCCAGACTTTTATCGCAATGCCTTAGAGTCGGCTTTTCTGCTGGCAGACGAGCGTTTTACCCAGAAGAAGATAACCAGCGGCACAACAAGCGTGTGTGCCCTGATCACCAAGGATCAGCTGTATATAGCCTGGGTGGGTGATTCCATGGCTCTTCTAGTGGGCAAAAGAACCCAATTACAGCTGGTGAAACCGCACAAGCCAGAGAATCCAGATGAGCGCAAGAGAATAGAAACAGCCGGTGGCACTGTGCTTCATGCCCAGGGTCAGTGGCGGGTAAATGGCATCCTGAACGTGGCCCGTTCCATTGGTGACTATAGTTTGGAGGCAGTGATCGCGGAACCGGATTTCGTCGACGTTCAGTTAAGCGAGGCTGACGACTTTCTTGTACTCGGCACCGATGGCCTGTGGGACCATGTACCAGAGTCCTTTATCATCGAAACCGTTTACGAGTCCCTGGCGGATCCCACAACGAAGCTGGAAGACATTCCCAAACTACTGATAGAGGCTGCAAAGGAGCGAGATTCGCAGGACAACATAACAGCGGTGGTGGTCTTGCTCAAACCTCGCCACCAGATAAAAAATCTTTAAAAGTTGGAGTTTGGAGCATTGGAAATCCAAGCAGCGAATTTTTTTAATTGTTACACGCATTGGGATGGGTTAATTTGTACAAATTCAAAACAACTTAGTAGCGAAAAGTAATCTTGAAATCATCTCTTTTTACTTGAGACACATAAAAGTCATATCAAGTTTTATATATTCAAAAAAGAAATGTGCCAAAAATCTTAAAGTAATTAACAAAAGCATTATTAGTTCGATATTGACAAGCATATTATAGAAATATACAAAAAATATTCAATTTTCTAAGATATAATGAAACGTTCACAGACGTTTATCGTGATACAACGAATATTTTGTCTAAGTAAATGAAAGATCCCGAATCCTTGCCCAATTTAAAACAATCGATATATCCAAAGATTACTTTCCGAACCTACAATTATTGATCAACGAAAATTAACCCATGCCGGCCTGCATTGTTGTTTCGTTTACTTTATTGTTTGTAATGTAAATAGCTTGGAGCGGATCGTAATGCTCCTCCCTTTCTGTCACATTCTCACGTGCCTACGTGGTCCTGGAAATGGCACTTCCCGAATAAGCTCAATCAAAATATTTTGTGGTTGCTCAGCAGTTGAAGAAAACTTACAGAAATTAAATCCAAGTCTTCGCTTATGGCAACTGTTGTTAACCCGGATATACATATATACAAAGTGCACACGTACGCACAGAAACAAATTTATATATATTTTAGATTAGCCTGCAAGCATATTTATACACATTGAAGTTGTTTTCGGTCGCTTAGCGCTTCCTGCTGTATGATAATAAGCAAAGCCAGGTACACATATATTGTAGACCTAGTTATATACGTATATATTTACACCTGTAAACCATATTTAATGATCCCACACAGATTAAGTAGCTTTTTATACAAGTCTAATGAACCTTTCATGCATTTTATCGAAAACACATTTTTAACAACACACGCAAATTGAATAAGGAGATTTTTTATTGGAATAATAAAAATAATTCACAGAATTTTCTCGCCACTCTCTCTAGCTGGGTGGCGGTTGTCCCTGATGCGGCTGATTGGTTGGTGGCGGACTGGTTCAACACCACAACTCGGTGGTGTCCATTGCGACCCCTGTGTCTGCTGACCCCTGTTTTGTTCTGCCTTTGGGGCAGCATTCGACACATGCACCGAAACACCTAAGAAAAGCATGTTGTTAACCGATTTTCACTTTCTTATCTCCAATAACTCACCCTTAATTATATGATCCTCTCCACACAGAGACTGCGCCACATCAGGATCGAGAAAAGTGATAAAACTAATGGCTCTAAAGGGTCGGGGAATAAACACGTCGGTGACCTCGCCAAACTTGGAGAAATACTCGCGCAAGTCGTCCGAGTTTATGTCCTATGTGCAGCGGCCCACGAAGACCTTGCACCTGATGTCCCATGCCTTGGGAGATAAAAAGGGTTAGTAAGTTAAGGGAATTCTTAGAGGGGTTACCTTAGAGTTGGGCACCTTAACTTCGCACCAACGACCGTCGATGAGGTGACGGTTAGAGAGAACGCGCATTTGGGCGTCGTAGGACCCAAAGCGTACGAATCCAAGGCCTTTGGACTGCCCCGACTTGGTTTCCTTCTTGATCTGGGCCATCAGCACTTCGCCAAAGGTCTCAAAGTACTCCCGCAAGCTATCCTCAGTTGTCTTCCAGGGCAAGCCCAGAACCATAAGATCAGTGCATCGCATCGGGTCTCGATCCGTTTGGTCTTGGCCGTTGAGTTCTCCAAGTTATCGTCGCTCTTGCGCTTGTTTTCTATGGAGGATTATAGAATGAATTTGGGTGCCTCTTTAAGTTGTAGAAACCAAGTAATATCCTTGGGAAACACACAGAAGTAGAGGTATTCCCCCCATCCAGCGTCCACGCTGGGCGGAAACAGTCTGCCCTCGTTGAAGCGAACTCCGCAAACCGCCCTCGTGTCCAGGTTGCGATACTTGAGACCGCAGGAACCCGGAAACTGGGCCCTTACCAAGGATGCTGATGAAAACGACACGAAGTTAAAGGTCTCAACCGCACAGAAATGATCCACCATATCATTCAATCAACTGAAGCTCCCACATATTCTGCATCCCTACATTCATGAAATGGACTCTCTCAAGTCATCCGTTCCTTCCAGATGCATTTCAAATAATGTATATCCCACACACATTTTGTGTGTTAAAAGTGTTTTTATTTCGATTTTTTATGAGCCAATAATTCGACTTATTTCATTTTTAACTCTAAACCATTTTGTGTAAAAAGTATTTTTTCAAAAATGCTTTGAACAACGCTCTGCACCAACACAGCAAAAGATAAATCCCAAAATTGTGGCTTAAAAAATAGACATAGTTATAAATACTTAAAAGGTGGCGCTGAAAACATTACACATGGTAGCGTTCAAATTTTATGTATTTAGATTTGCATTTTTTCGAAGCAACAGAATTTTGACGTCCTCTTCCTGCGGATATGGTTTGCTTATACCAATCAGCTTTTCGATTCAGCGATTCTCTATGTGAACAAGAATCCGCTTAAGATTGCAACAGCGATTTTAAACGGCTGTGTGCAAAGGGTATTACGAGCGTTCAGCGATTTTTACACAGGGTATCAGGTGTTTTTGTAGTATTTTCTTAGCTCATCTGAGTACCGCGGTGTGCCGCGCGCTCTCTCCTATAGGCGCACAAACATTTTTTTTTTAAACATTGATGTTTCTTAGGCCTAGCACGCAGATCGGCTAAGAGTTTCACTAGTCGAAAAATCTTATTCCTTGTAGTGTGTCCCAAGTTTTCAAGGTTATCCCGCAATGCATGTAGCATGGCCTTACTGTCAAGTAGCTGGGTTTTTTGACAAATGGAAAACAAATCAACTAGATCAATTTAAAAAAGAAGAGTCTGCTGGTGCACAAAGAAATTAACATAAAAATAAATAGATTGTTCAACGAATGTTTTATTTATGTAAATAAGTAGTATAAAGCTTCCTTCTCGTCCCACGGATACTTCGCCATCTTCCTCGCGCCATCTGCAGCCCAGCTCCGAATCCCAATAGGCATACGACCTTGAGTAAGTGGGGAAGTGGGAAGTCCGCCTGATGCTGCAGAAGGTCTCCCAGCATCCTGGCAATGGCTGGTAATGGCATCCTTTTTTCCTCCTCCCTCTAGAGGCTAGCGCGTCCTTCATCTCCGCTTTAGGAGGAGTCCGGTGGTTCCCCAATGGAGGGCTCGTCGGAGATTGTTCTGGTGGTTCTGCTAAAATGATACTTCTATTAGTACATCGTAAACAAGTTTGTTTGGTCACAACTTACTTTCTTTGCGAGGACACGCTTGGCAGGAGCTAAGTCCCACTTGGCATGTTCCTTCCCACTGGGATTCTCTAGTGGATCTCATCCAGCACTTCAACTATTCCGCGGATTTTCCCAGTTGTAATATTGTTTCCTGTCGGTGAAGGCCCACAATAACGTGCAAGAGGCGTCCTTTTTCATCTGCACTGACCTCCTGCAGTCGTTTTTGGAGTCTTCCATCACTCGCTAAATCTGGTATTTTTTCTGGTATTTCCTTAGCTCATCTGAGTACCGCGCTGAAAAACAGACCCGACAAAAAGCATTAGCCGCGTATTTGCCTCTCGCTCACTCCTATGGTTAGCACGCGGTTTTCGTCGATGTGAGTACTAGGCTAAGGAATACATTTTTTTTTGTTGCGGAAGCACCCACTGTCTGAACAGACTATTAATAAATACATCGATAATGCGCTACCAAACATCGATGCTTTAAAATCATCACTAACATCTATGTTTACCACCACTAGGTGACTAAAATAACCAAACCAAAGAGAGTGCAACAGAGAAATTGTCAGCAAACACTGGAGTTAATTGTTTAAAATGTGACAACAGCAATTCAAATGTTTGCTAAGTAATAAACCAATAGTTGTTTTGATTTTTTTTTCACCAAAACGTGTTAAGTGAATCGGTTACACAAGAGCGGGAGAAAAGGAAAAGTAAAAAAACAATGGAGCAGTCGTAAAAATTGATTAAGCAAAACAAATGAGAAGAGAGCGCAAAATGCACAAAATGGTTAAATTATTCCTCAGGTAATTTTATTCTCGACAATAACAAGATTGCTCTTGTGCTCTCATTGTTGTTGTTTTTTGTTCTGGGCTCTCTCTTCGCGCATTTATTATTATGAATGACGTAAGCGCGCCTCTTTGGTGCCCCTACAAAGGCAATAACAACAATTTGCTTTTGTTGTTTTGCAAAGGAAAATAACAGAATCGTTTTTTTTACAGCGTGTGTGAGCTCCCCCTACACGCACACGCACACAAGTAAAAGTGGCGTCGTTGGTTTTTTCTTGAAAAACGTGCTAGACGCCTTAAGAGAGAAAGAAGAGAGCGCATCTCTCTCTTTTACCATATTATAACTTTTTTGGTCAATGACCTAAGCTTTTTGGCCCGTTAGTTGTATTAGCTGTGGTTTTTCGCCTATTTCCGTGCGTTTTTCTATGAGCTAGTTCAAAAATTGTAGTTTATTTTCAAAAGTTTGTTACACCTTGCGAAGGTTAATATCGCCGTAGCAGTTGCCTCTCCCTACCTTTTCTTCGACCAATTGATCAGACACAGTTAAAACAAATATGTAAATAGTGAAATGAAAATTTTATTTTCTTCGATTTGGGTTGGGCTTGGAATAATTAAAGAGGTCCTAAAAGGTCCCACCTCTCCTTGAACATTATTGATTATTCATTTATCTTAGCAGTAAGCACTTGTTCACTTACCATAGATATCACAACTACACTTGTTTTACACTTGCGTCAAACCTAACTTAACCATTCCAAAACCACTCACAAAGAAAGTTAACTTCGGCTAGCCGAAGTTGATAAAAGCATAGAAATGTTTTATTATTATAGATTGTTTGTTGTAGCTTAAGTAATGTTTATTTTAAAAATCAAGTACGCAGCTCTCAAGACAGGATTACAATAAGCGCAAGAAATGTATTATTATCTGTACAAATATGGCACTAATTATAAAATTTAATTCGGAACTCTGAAATATTGTATGTCTTAAAAGAGAATAGACATATACAGCTGTGTTCATTAAAATAGCAGTGCGACAGAAGCGAAACTATATAACGGTTTATTATTTTTTTAGAATGGATCATAGAGATACAAAACAAGCCCAAAAACCCATTAGATTTTGTCTGTATTTGGTTATTTTCAGGTTTTTGAACACGGGCACAACATTTTGTCTGTTCACTGAAATAGCAGTTTTTGATTTTCTACCAGGAAAAGTCCCGAAAATGTTTGTAATTTGGTGAAAATTAGGTTTAATGAAGACCATTATTATAAATTGAACCATAATACACTATAACTATAGAAAAAAATTAACTTTAGTGGGTAGAGGACCTCATTGCTCCAAGGGAGAAAGGAAAAATTGATTGAGCCTAGAAAGGAGGGCAAAACGTATCAATATATTCAGTGCCCCTTAAAATGTCCAGCCAATATGGTTTACAATGCCATAAACTATGAACCCAAGCCCGAAAAACGTTATGCGATACGGAAAACCACAATTGTAGAGGACGTACGCAAAGTGCGCTTCAGCAAAACTTATCCTTTTGATGTGAGCTTGGGAATCTGTGATGGCACTATTCTCCGAGGTATGTTAGATGAAAATTTGAATGCTAGAAGTCCACGAAGGGAGCCTTTACTTGGTAAAAGACACCCCAAAGATAGGTTGAAGTTTGCGAAAAGCCACTTGAACTAGCCACTTTCAAAAGGTCGAGTTATGCTTTGGACAGATGAGTCTTAGCTGGTGTTTTTTGGTGGAACAGGTTCAGAATAGTATTTTCGTCGACCACCAAACACCGAGTACCACCCAAACCATACGCTCAAGACTGTTAGGCAGGTGGCCTTAAAATCATGGTATGGGCACTTTTCTCTTACAGCGGTGTGGGTCCCTTACGTTCGATCGATGGGATCATGGACCAACATGATTACGTAAATATACTGAGAAATGTCATGATCATGATGAAATGTCCTTAATATGGACATTACAGCAGGACAATGATCCTAAGCACACCAGCAAATTGGCCAAGGAGTGGATTAGCCTCCTCGGATTTAAATCCGATTGAGAACTTATGGGGGGACATAAGCGTTATGTTGCCAAGAAATTCCCGACTTCTAAGCCGCAGCTTTGGCAAGTTGTGCAGGAGAGATGGGGTCAGATTTCCCGCAAACGTTGCGAGGACTTGGTGGACTCCATGCCATGAGCTATATTGAATTTTATCATATTTTTCTTTTAAGACTGCTATTTCAATAAACACCATAATTCAGTCTTTCTTTTTTGTTATTATCCATATTTGCTAAAATATTGAAAAAACAGCTAAATTATTTTAAAAGTAAATAATTTAAACGGTTGTATCTATGTTTTGTCTCAGTGTTGTGTTTATATTAGTGTTTTTCGATTTTATACGTGCAGGTTGTATGCACTGCTATTTCAATGAATACAGCTGTATGATCAAAATAAACGAAGATAAAATCTTTATAGCCGTTACTCGTAGGTAGATAGAAGGTAGATAGAAGCGTCCCCGAAAGTATATATATTCTTGATCAGGATCACTAGCCATGTCCGTCTGTCTGACCGTCCGTATGAACGCTGAGATTTCGGAAACTATAAAAGCGGGAATGTTGGGATTAACCAAACAGACTATAGGGGTTTTTGAGCAGAGGAACTTTGTTTCAGCGAAGTGCCACGCCCGTGATTTACTTACACTTTTCGAAAAGTTTCATCCTGATAGCTT